TATTCGTGAAAACAGCCCTCTTGCTCTTATGAAATTGCTTAGTTAATTTTATATGTTAATGTTATTATATGAAAAAAGATCTAATACAAGTACTTTTGCAATGATCCTATCTTACATTTTTTGGTGGGGTGGGGGGGGGTTGTATTAATTTTGGTGGAATTTTTGATAGAATTCCCTATTAAATTCTGACAGGGCACAGCAGTATCAAAAGAAATACAATTAGAAATAAGTAATTGATTGCATTTGAAGCAGGAAGTTTCACATCCAATCACAGTAATCATGCTAACAAATAAATCAGAAAGTGCACCGACAATTTAGTGAAATTCTTACAGTTGTGGTCTTGATATAATCCTGAGTCCTTTTAGTCTGAGACCAACGCGAGACAGAGCACAATTGCGGCCAAGACTGAGACAAGACCAAGACCTTCAAATATGGCCTTAAGACTGGTCTTGAGACCAAGACCAAGACCAAGACCAAGACCAAGACCAAGAATTACAACACTATATATACTCGTATTGGTGTCAGGCCAGTCATCAACCTAACTACAGGCTCTAATCTTCAGCACAATGGTAACCCCAAATACTTTTAAATTCCAAAATAATACAACATTAAACACTAACAGATCTCCCCCTATAATAATATTGAGCAAAACAGATGAAATTACACTTAATTTTAAGATGTACTCTCCCCAGAAGCAAAGCATGCTGGGAACTAAAAATCTGCTGTAACTCATTCTGTGATTGTGTTTATGTATGTGCACATTTATATGGGAAAATGTATGTGCAATATATGGGCACAAGAAAGGATAAAACTTGCTATTTTAATGCTATTTTTGTCTTCATTTCTAAATATTTTTATACGTGGCCAATGCATATATTGCAGTATATTGAAAAATATAAGTACTGGTTTCCCATATATGGAAATGTATAAAGTAATATATCACATATTTTGCTGTATATTCCCATATGTTTTTGTTCCATAAGGGTATGACTTTCAGGGTGTTTAGCTTAGCAACTTACTAACAAACAACCATTAAAATTGGAGGAAAACTGACATTCTTATGTGGAATACTATTTTTTATTTTATTTTATTTTTGCAGCATATCTAGAGTTGCTGCCTACATAGACTGTATTCTAACGGTCACTTGTGAGGCTATGACCTTCATGGTTTTTAGCTTAGCACCATGCCAACATGCAACCATTAAAATTAGAGGAAAATTGAGGCTTCTGCGTGGTGGGCTATTTGTTTGCAGCCTATAAAGAGTTGCTGTCTATGTAGTAGCAGTAGTCACTTCTAAGGTTATGACTTTCACAGTATTTAGCTTAGCAATTTTAACATGTAAGTAGGGGCGCGGGAAGATACTTTCGGTTGGGGGTGCTGTGTGTGTCCGTGTTTG